TGAGGCAGGAGAATCACTTGAACTTGGGAGGCAGAGGTTGCTGTGAGCCAAGTTCACACCACTGCACCCCAGCCTGGGTGACTGACAGAGTGAGACTCTGTCTCAAAAAAAAAAAGGAAAATGTGGCTGGGCGCGGTGCCTCCTGCCAATAATCCCAGCATTTTGGAAGGCTGAGAAGGGCAGATCACTTGAGGCCAGGAGTTCAAGACTAGCCTGCCAACATGGTGAAACCCTGTCTCTGCTAAAAATACAAAACTCAGCCAGGTATGGTGGTGTGCACCTGTAATCCCAGGTATTTGGGAGGCTGAGGGATGAGAATCACTTGAATCCAGGAGGCAGAGGTTGCAGTCAGCTAAGATGGCACCACTGCACTCCAGCCTGGGCAACAACAACAAAGAAAGTTGAAAATGTGATGAGAGGAGTTTGCTAGCTGGGCCAAGCTGGGTCATAGGCTATAAGATGGAGCAGCCAGTCCCATGTCCTGGCCAGCAGTGGACCTGATTCCCGCTGCCCTGGCCCCTCAGCATCAGTACTTCTTATAGGCAGAGCAGTTAGGTGAGTGGCCACCAAGCTCTTGACTAGCTAAGTCTCAGTCTGACCAGGCTAAGGGACCCCCAGCCCTAGCCAGTTGGGAATATTTAGACCCAAGTCAGGGGAGGCCAGAGGCCTATCTACTTCCTAGTCCTTCGGACAGGTGCCCAAATGCTTTCTGGAACTATTGCCCAATCCCAATCCCAGCTTCCTCCCTTAAGAGCTGAACTGGCTGGGCAGCTGCCCAGATGCCCACACCCACTTCAGCGTAGCCGGTAGCTGACCCACTCCTAACTGGGTAGCTTCCCCCATCCTCCTTGATGTCCCCAGCAGGAGAAACTGAAGCAGGGCCTGAGGTGGCAAGGGGTTCCAGGCATGGCAGTCTTTTCCCCCCTGCACAGGGAGCAGGTTCCTTTACTGGAGCTGGGGCATGAAAATGGGTAACTACTTAAGACAGTGAGGTCAGGGGGGCAGAAGGTGGGTCTCTCCATGGTCCGCAAGGTCACAGGACTGAGTCCTTGCCCTCCCTCATGGTCACTCTCTCCTACCTTCTTGGGTCTCCTCAGGCATGGCAAGCAGTGGGCAGTCAGGGGCCGATGATGGCATCCAGTAGCAGGACTGGACAAAGACAGCAGTGGCTCCTTTGAGAGCCCGGGGAAGGTCTGGCTGCCTCCCAGCCTTGGCCTAAAATAGGCCTGAGCTCAGCCCAAAGGGCTATATTTAGAGGGGGCAGCCCTCAGCCATGGGAAGGGGTGGAGTGATCCACGTGGGCCTGCCTGGACTATCTACCTGGAGAGGGAGCCATCCAGGAGCCTGCCTCCACTAGTCCAGGTGCCCAGGGACCTTCAAGGCAAACCATACCTCTCCCATACACCCAAAATGAGCCCCCAGGCTCAGCAAGGCCCCACGTGTCAGACAAGACATACAAGGGACCCCTGTGCATCTCTACTCAGCCACCCCTCCACCCTGCAGACCCCTACCCATAGCAGTCATCTCTCCTCCCAGCAAACACGAGACAAGCAGCCTCCACTGCATGACTTGCTGGCACACAGTGCTGTTGTGTGTGTCTTATATAGAGGGTGATGGACAACTGGAGCCTGATGCCATGAGGGCTCTGGTAGCCTCACAAGTGGGCAGATACACACGCAGCACCCATGCTGGCCAGTGGGTGGACCTAGGCTGGAGGCTGGTTCATCTGTTACTAAGCTTACAACCTTAGGTAAAGGATCTCCCCTTTCTGAGCTCCGTTTGCTGTGTAAAGTGAGAATAACAATGGCTCCTCCCTGGGAGTGTACACTGAGAACCACATCCAGAGCATGTAGCACAATGCACGGTTTTGGTCCTCCCCCGCTCCCATCTCCACAAGGGTAGACGCGTTCCATAAGGTCGTGTAAGGATGCGCATCACCGCTTACCTCGAAGCAGGGAGGTGGTCCAGCTTCCAACCTTCCCTGTGGTTGGATCCCTGTGGCCCTTCTTCCCAATGGGGGCAAAGCACAACTGTGGGCTCTACTTCCCACACACTCCAAACCTGTCACAGACTGGCCTCCCTGATGTTCCTCAAAGTCAGCAAGCTTGTTCCCACCTCAGGGCCTTGGCAGTGTCTGTTCCCTTCCGGAATGCTCTGTCCCCAGATAGTCTGTGGCTGGCTCCTTCTTGTCATGGAGCTCAAATGTCACCCCTTCAGTGAGGCCTTCTGCTCACATGCTTCTCCACATCACCCAGTTTTATTTTCTTCCTAGCACTCAGCCCTGAAGTTATACTATGCACATATATAATGTACCCTGCGTGACAGTATTCCCCAAGGCCCTACAGAACCTGTTCAGTCACGTGGAACCACCTTTCATCCTCACCAGGCAACCTCGGACAAGAGACACTCAGGCCCTGACACGGCTACAAAGGTGCCTAAGACCACACAGCAAGGCCTAGGACTGGGGTTGTCTGCTGGGGCCATTCCAGCTTTGGCTGATAATGCTTTTATTGTGTTACTTTAGTACAGTCGGCCTGCCTCGCTCCGCCTCCAACAGCCCAACCTGTTCACAGCTTTCTGCTCACTGCTCACTACCCAAGGAGGTGGGGTCTGTCCCCCAGGGTGGGCACTCCAGGCACCTCCTCGGCCCTGGTTGTTGCTCTGGAGCCCGGCTTCCCCGTCCCTTACCCCCCGGCTGAATCCTGCGCCCGGCCTGTGCCGCCCTTCCCAGAGCTACTACATTCAAGGGTTATCCTGTTAATAAATAAGCCCGCGCAGCTGCCCTCAGCCAGGGCCTGTCGGTGGGTGTCTATGTCGGCCGGGGACCCCCAATGGGCCCAGCCCAACCCGTCCGTCTTTTCAGGGTCTATCTGCCTCCTCTCCAGCCTGTCGTCTCCTGCTTGGTCCCTGGCGTGGGTACAGACCGGTCACCAGTGCGTTGCGCTGCGCGGCCCCCGCTCAGCGCGTGGCTCAGGAGCGTGCGTCCGCCGGTTACGGCCCTTATTTCTCCGCGACTCCGGGGGCAATGAGTGCTGCGCAAGCTGCGGGCGGCACATGCGCAGGGAGTTCGCGCTGCCACCGCCGCCAGGCTCCACCAGCTGTAGAAAGTCCCGGTACCAGAGTTTGGGGCCCGGCGGCGCGGCGGGCGCAGCCTCCTCGGCCCGCGCCAGCCGTTCGGCCTGCGTAGCACTCAACACGTGCAGCGACAGGCGACGGAGCGGCTGCGAAAAGCCCTGCTCGACGGCAGCGCACAGGTACACGCCCGAGTCTCGGCGCCGGAGCCTGCGCAGCAGTAGCCCCCGGGCGGTGCGCTCCGTGCGCTCCTCTGCCAGCACCTGCGGGCGGGGGGTAGCGTGAGGCGGGGGCGTCGGGCCCCTAGCACCCAAAGGAAGAAGCAGAGTCATTGGGAGCCGAGGGGGAGCGGGAAAGGGGTGCCCGCCGGTGCACATTTGAAGGTTGTTTGGGAGCTGGTGGTCTTCCAGGGAGGATACAAACGAGGCGGGGTTTGCAGGAACGTGGGGGGTGGGTCAGGGACCTCAATAGGAGGGTCGAGGGCGAGTCTTCTCCCCGATCCAGGGGAGGCGGGTCAGGAGCTTGGTTGGACCCAATGGAGCCTCCGCAGCTTGTGGAGTGCAGGTGAGGGCCCAAACTGGGCGGGGAGGGGAGGGAGTCTGGTTGGGCGGAGCCTCGTTGAGCAGGGTGAGGCGTCTCCTGGATGCAGCGGGTGAGACAGGAGCCTGGTGGGGAGCGCGGGGCAAGACTCACCTGGGTGTGGGCTGTCACCCCTGCACGCTGGAAAGTCCACTCGACGTGCGCCTGCAGCGAACGGGGCTCACACTCCAGAAAGGCGCTGCTGCCCTCCACGCCGAACACCTTGTGTTCCAGCAGTGCGGGACGAGAAAAGTCTTGGGGCAAAAAGAACGTCAGATTTAGGCAAAGCGGGGAAGGTGGGGTGTTTTCTGGGGCTGAGGGTAGGGGCAGCTGGGGGACTCGCCTCCTGAGCACAGCGTGCTGGGGTTGCCATTCCTTACGTCTTGCCGCCGGAACCGCCTGAGAGGAACATTGGACCCTCCGTGAGCCCTTCTTCTTTCAGCCCTGGGCAGCGAAAGACCTTTCGCCTCCCTCCCGGCTGCCCAATCCCAACCCCGCCCACCTCTTGGTACTGGGCTGGAAGCGAGTGCATGCGACCCCGTCCCAGGCGCAGTAGGGGTCACGCGCCAGACAGCATTCGGCGCAGGCGCGACCGTGGGCAGTGCAGCGGTGCAACGCGATCTGGGCCACCGCCCTCCGCGAGGCTACGTACAGCTGGTGCTAGGGGGCACAAAGGGCTCTGGGCTGACCGAGGGCGGCCCCGCGCCTGCCTCCTATCGGTCAGGGATCCCTCCTCCCACTCGACAGATGGAAACACTGAGGTCTCACGCCTCAAGTCAGTCTAGCAAAGGCAGAGCCTGTACTCAAACCCAGGAGTGCAAACTACCAAGAGGGGCCAGAGGCTTGGGACGTGCCAGGCACAAGCTCAGTCCATTCCACCCCCACCCTCATCCTCTGGTCACTCACCCTCTTGGAGGAGATTTGCATGCTGGTGACAGCGCTTGAGTCCTGAGAGGGAGGAGGGGCGACGGGGTCAGGGCTTAGTGGTGTGGAGGGGTCCCGGGCGACTGGGGGCGAGGCCTCACCTCAAACACGTGCAGCTCCTCCAGGAGCAGCCCCTCTGCGCTGGGCCTGCTGCCCTTGGGGACCGATATCACCTTCAGCACCGTGCCAGCGTCTGCAGGGATAAGAAGGCGTAATGACCATTGGTGGTCCCGGACAGCTGGGGCTCGGGTCTCCTCGCCTTTGAGGCGTCTACCCTCAGCATGTTTGGGTTGTCAAGTGTGGACTGGAAGAGTGCAGGTTGGGCAGCATACAGAAGGTGGAGACATAGCCCTGGAAAGGATGTGAAAATGGGACTGAGCAGGGAGAGCTTCCACCAGCAGGCCACAGGACCTGGATGGTCGCTGTGGAGGGGCCCTGACCTGTGCCAATGAAGAGGACGTCATAGTGTCCGTCAGCGGCTGCAACCCGGTCCGCGGCAATTTGAGTGAAGGTGTAATTGGCTCCAACTTGTAGGAAAAGAGGCCGCCCCCCAATGGGCAGGACAGAGTTGTACATGAGGGGGTGGTTCCGCGCAAAATGGATGACATCGTCGGGGAAGTCCTTGGTGGAACTGAAGGTGCCAAAGGTCTTGCTGGGGCACTGAGGGTGGGGGGAAAGAAGACACAGCAGGGATATAGATATGGGGGCTTCATGAGCAGCCCTCCATGCCAAGCTTCTGGGAACATGGAGGGGGATGGGGACAGACCCTGCCCTGGGAATTTGAGAGAGGAGATGCAGCCTTGCCTTGGGAAGTCGGAGGTGGGGAAACAAGCCTTGTTTTATGATGAAAACCTTTTCTCACCCATAACTAAAGGAAGAAACCACATTCACCAAGAAGGCCTCGGGCCAAGTTCTCAAACCCTTGAGGCTTTGAAGGGGTTGTGAAGTGGGTTGTGGCACAAGTCTCTGGCCTACGCACCATGCCTGGCCGCGGGTAGGGGACGCGACCCTGGTATGACACCCACTGGTGCATGGGCCCCTCTTTATGTGCAAAAGGTCCCAGGAAGGCCCGGCGTACGTCGTTCATGCTGTACACGCACACCGCAGAGCCCTGGAAGATGCTGCTGTAGGCGAAGAACAGGGTGGTGGGGTGAGGGGCCGGGTGGAGCCCAGGCCTGCCCCAGGCGCTTTTTACCTCCTGCCCCTCACCTGGACGTGGAGAAGACGGCATAGAGTAGCGAGGTCCGGTGGTCCCGCGAGGACAGCAGAAACACATCCTCTGCGGGGAAGGGGCCTAGCTGGGGCAGGGCGCACAGCCCTGCTGCAGCGGGGGCTCCCGGAGTCTGCGCGCTGCCCCCCTCCCAACCCCATTCCCACTCCCGCACTCACGGAGCTGATCAAAGTGGGTGTCCCCCTCGACGCCGGGCACCGAGCACACCAGCCGCGCCTTCAGGAATGTCGTCCACTTGTTGACCAGACTGCGCTGGCCGCCTACGTCGTTCTGCCGGACGAACAGAGGGGATGAGGGCAAGACCAGGGCGGGCAAAGAGGCAGGGGCAGGGCCGCAGGGTGTGGCCAGGGCCTCCTCACCCGGCAGATCTGGCCAACGCGGGACACCAACAGGCGTCCCATTGCTGGCGCTGCCTCCACCGCCGTCTCACGAAAGAAGAAGTAGATTTTGTCGTCATCTGGGTTCTCGCTCTCCGGGATCCAAAATACCTTGACAAACTTGGGCTCTGACCGCGGCAGGAGGTGTGAGTCAGCGGGTCCTGGCCTCGCCCCCGATACAAGACCCACGTGCTGCTTCCCCTTCCCGGAGCGCGGGCATAGCGCCTGGGGTCACAGTGTCTGACCACCCAACCTCTAGGACCACGTCTAGTTGGCGCTCTGCGCAAACCGAATCCTAAGGATCGGGGCCTACGAGGCAAGAAGCAGCCGCAAGGGGGCAGCAGAGACCGTGGCTACCTAG